ACTGTCTTCTCTTTTTCATCATCAGGAGAATCTTTTCTTTCTCCTCCAAATTTAGCATTCACCATAACATAAAAACGCTCTTATGGATAAGCATTCATGTCCCTGGACACAGTAATATAAACTAATGGTGGGGAGTTTCAGCAAGAATACTATTCGGAAGCATCTAACAAAGACAGCTCTCAGTGAGGTAAAGGATGTCGAGGGTGCCAGTGTCCAGGCCTTTTCCATTCTGTGTGGCTGGTATCTGGCTGCTAGTATTGGAGCCCCTTGGCCAGTCCTGGTGGTAGAAACCTTTTGAGGAAGCTCATTGCAGCTGGAAGCATCCAAACACAGGTTTGGAAGGAGCTGAGCCACACCAAATCTTTTGCTTTTAATCAGAACAAATTTTCACAGAAGCAAAACCAGTGAAAGAAACAAAATCAAAAGATCTGAGATGGGATATAGTGAAAAGTTGGCTTTCTCCTGGCTCTGAGTTATAGCCGTCCTATTCTCTCTGCTACAGACAACAAGGGTAGATGATTTGGGTGTGTTTCCACAGAGAATCTTCATTTATAATTGAAAGATAAGGAGGCACACACACACAAACACACATACACAGACACACACACACACACACACACACACAGAGAGAGAGAGAGAGAGAGAGAGAGAGAGAGAGAGAGAGAGAGATGATTTTTTAACCCCAGGTACAGCTTGGAGGCCTGTTTATATCATTGCATGCAGGACTTGTACTTCCACATCAATACAAGCTTGTTTTCTTATCAATCCACAGAGGGCTGTCATTTACAGCTCCTATCTTATGGCAATTGCACCACTTCCATTCCTCACTGATGGATAATCAGGGATCCCCCAACAATTTTCTGTTAAAAACAGTGTTGTTAAAGATTATTTTTGTATGTCTCCAAGTATATTTTCAAAACAGATTCCAAGAAGTGGAACTGGGTTGAGGAGACTGTGGACTTGAATTCCAACATATATTTAGCCTGATGTCAATTTGCCCTGATCAATACTTTTTAGAACCTATGTCCACTGATCTTTGTTTGTGAGGTAAGTTTTAGTTCTAGAGGAATCAGAAGCAGACAACACTGTTTGTTCCCAACTTTCCTAAACACAGAAAATACCTGGGGATTTACTAAAAATATTAAACCTCTGTCTCTCTCCCCACACCAACCAACTCATAAGGCTTGAAAGCAACATGAGCTATAACCAGGAAACCTTAGGACACTGTTGGTAGGAAAAGGCAGTGTGCAGATTGTGGTATGGGGTTGGAGGCAGGTGTAGGTTAGAGTGCTGGGAAAGTGATAGATGGGAGATCCTTGTAAGACAGACACTTGAAAGCGTTAATGAGCCATGGTGATTCTTCTTTTGAAATGCTTCATAAGAGCTTAGCTGCTTCTTTCAGTGGTGGATTAAGCACAGCATGCACAGAGGCAAGTGGTCAGATACAGGAGTAGGTGGCGAGCAGGGAGGTGAGAGTAAATGACCTTATTACCATGAAGATATAGCTGTTACTTCAAAAGTGTTCCCCTTGTAATGATCATATCACCTGACCACAGAGCACTCAGCATGTGCCTGTCCATCTGCTGAATACTTGACACAAATGATCTTTAATATGCCTGAGGGCAGGTAATTTCTTATTGCGTCCTACTAGACAGCAGACACCAAAGTCCTGTGGAGTTACGTGGTATGCTCAAGTTCACTCATTTGCATAGCGGTAAAATCAGGATTGGAATCAGTTCATTAGGGCCCACAGCCATGAGCTTTGCAAACACAATGCACACACTTTAAAAGGGACAGCAGGAAAAGCCACGAAATAAACAGAGAAGGGCACACAGAGTCTATTTCCACGTTCATACCTCAAGACAAGTGGGACATGCTGTTTGCACTGAGAGTAAAATTCACACTAATTCTAAAGACAAAAATTGGGGCTGTAAAGACATTTCCTGTTGTTCACTGGCTACTCCTACAGCCTCAGAAATCTCATTTCCCTTCTCTTCAGCATGTATTTGGCTAAAAGCTTTGAGAAAAAACTGCTTTCTATTCAGTCACCAGCACCCACCTCTCAGTTTGTACATTTAACACACGACATGCCATGAAAAACATTTGTACCTTCAAAACAGCCTGGTATCAAAACACCCAAAACAAATACTGCTAGAATATGCGAGGATGATTTGGGCAAAACACATACTTGTAAACCAAATAAGCACAAAACCACAGCAACAGCACAGGGAACAGCTTCTGTTGAAAATGGCTCCCGCTCCAGTATCTCTTTCCTTCTTCCTCAGGTAAGTGCTGGAAGCCCCTGGAAACCTCACAGGGCGATCGTAAGTCTGCCACGCCAGTGATCCCTATAGCTAGCATTAGGCCTTGGCGAAAATCTGTAGTATCTTAAGCTGAGACAAGGATTCTACCTGGTTCCTGCAATACAACAAGCTAGGGGGACCCCCCCCCCTTTTTTTTTCTGTGAAAGGACACTGGATGGGAGACTGAAGATTTATTAGCAAACCAAAGATCTCAATTCTAAATTTTGAAGTATTGGGGGAAAACATTAACCCTATGGGTTAGGGTTTGCTAGAGAAACTGCATGAATAGAAAAAGTGTGAAATTATGCCAAAGGGTCAGAAGCAGCATAATCCACAATGACAGTCGAACACTGGAAAGCTGGAGAGCTCCCCAGCAGCTTAGCCTGGGAAGCGGGAAGCCACAGTACAAGAAGATTCAAGGGTGCAGCACAGTGCAAGACGGGGGGAGTCCCTGACACGAGTTCAAGTTGAAAGGCCGAAGAAGCGGAGTCTAATGTCCAAAGGGAACAGCTGAACAAAAGTGTACCTGTGAGCAGAGTGGAGCCTGCCAGACACAGCTGATTTTCTCCCTCTGCCCCTCTCAGTCAGGCTGGGCTGCACGTCTCCCGGATGGTGGCGCCCACAATCAGAGCGGGGCTCCCGCTTGGTGTGCCGGCTCGCCTGTCAGTCATCTCTGGAACCTTCCTCCGGCTTCTTCCAGAAGTGTGTTTTACTAATCTACAAGGGGTTTCTTACTGCAGTCAAACGGACAATCAAGATTAGCAGTCCCAGCAACTATTTCAGGTACTGAACAAGGCAGAGAAGCTACCAGCTGCTGCTGCGAGTGATAGCCACAATAATAGCAGCCACTCATGTGCATGGAAGTTACTATAGGCCGAGCTCCAGAACGGCTGCTTTAACCAGGGTGATTTTACTTACTCCCAGGCTCCTCTGGAGGTGTCTGACACCCTTTTAGCGTGGTGATAGAAAGCGTAGCTGTTGCTTGGTGAGGGCTGCTATAATACAGTGGATGTAAGCTAATGATGCTGCTAAGTATCCTATAGTGCACAGGACAGAGCCACCCCACACTGACCACCAAGAAGTATCCCACACAAGATGGCAGTAGTAATAAAGCTGAATAGAATTTGCAGTAGACCTGCATAAGTAACCTTCAAAAAAACTGTACGGAATGTATTTGTATTGTGCCCACTTCACAGATGAGAACACTTCAGCTTAAAGAAACTCCAAAGATTCTGACCTTTGAACACTCCGTTTTCTTTCTTGGGGTTCTTTCTTGCTCTTATGATGATACCCAAAAATTTAGATTTTTTTAGCAGCTGGGAATTGGCTCCTTGCACGTTAGCATAAAAGTTACATAGCCCAAACTGACCCAAGTCTCATTCCATGCTGGTTGATGCTGACCAACAGCTGGTGGCTGGAACAGGGACATAAAAATTATATAATGTCTGCGGAACTGATGAAAAGTTGACTTAACTGCTAAGATAAGGAACCAGGAAGACAGAGAGTGAGAATCTACACCAAGTTAAAAATAAGTTTTCTATCTGTGGTATCTGGACTGTTCTCCCACATCCTCTGTTCTTTATTTCTCCTCTCTGATAGTGGTGTAGTGTGTGTTGTTGAGAAAACACACCACGATGGCATGAGAATCAGACAGAAGGGATCCCTACACTGCAAGCCTTAGACAGCATGAAGTCATCAAATTCCAAGAGTTGGGGTCCTTTGGAAGACAACTTCTGTTTTTCTTTCCTTTTTTCTTTTTTGATAAATGCCAAGTTTCTTGTCAACATATTTATGACTGCAGCCTAGAGAGTCAGACTTTTTCTTTTGAGTCATTTCTTCTGCATCTGGCCTGAATGTTCGACTTTCCTCTTTCTTATGCTCTGTTTTGTAGCCTTCTCTATTTAAAAACTTTTTTCACAGTTCTCCCTGTTTATATCTTCTCTTTTCTCTTTTTAATTTTATTTATTTATTTTTCCATCAATAAGACATTTACCCATTTTAAGATGTCTAAATGATGGCTTGATCCAGAGAACGTTAACAGATTTATTTATACTTGTTTCAAAGCTGAACTACTGAGACTCGCTCATGGAAACATTCCGACTCGCATTAGTGCTTTATACCCTGGCATGAATACTAAAACTCCACACTCAGATGAAAATGGGAAAATGAACAATATGTGATTTCTTCCCCTATTTTCTGCCCACAGCCAATGACTTAGGTGCCTTTTGAGTCCATGGGAAAAAACATCTAATATTCAGTACCAGTAACAGGAAGAAGAGGGAAACATTTTTTTCAGAGTGAACACTTTCCCGCTGTGCTGGCCTCAGCACGCTCCCCACTTCGTGGCGCGCTGTTTGGTACCTTTCAGCATCACTGTTACTCGTTTGGCGAGAACCGAACACAGGTTGGGATCTTCAAACAAGCCAGGCAGAGAGGCCTCACTTGCCTCCCTCAAAGAGTCGGCAACTGCGCCCTGGAAGTGCGGATCTGCTTTGTTGTCCTGAGCAACTTCTTGCACAAGACTCTGGAAAGGACGCTTCTGACTCCGTGAACATCAGTGGACTCCTGATGGTGGCCAGCTCCTCGCAGTGGCACAGTTCCTGGTCTGTAACGATGCAGTTTCTTCACCCCTCCAGTAGAGGGCGCACGCTTATGAATTTTTTTTTTTTTTTTTTTTTTTTTTTTTTTTTTTTCCAGCCAGCTGTTTCCTAGATGCTTAACCCCGGGCGGATCTGCGGGCAGTCGCAAGCACCAGCACAGCTCCTCCTCACCCCGGTCCTTCCACTGGAGCTCGGCCAGCGAGAGACTACTGGCGTTAGAAGCAATGGCAGCTGCGAACACAACTGTTACTTTTATTTTTATTAGTACACGTTTGCAGTACATAATGACCGTATTTATCATGAGGAGTTGATACAGGTACATTATACATCTTAATTCTTTTTTAAAAATCCCCTCCCCCTCTCCTTTCTCCCTGTTCCTTCCAGCTCTTGTTCTCCTTTCCATTTGCTATTAACGTTTTTCCTTGCATTCTCTTTTTCCATCCCTTGGCCCTGCCTCTCCCCTCCTCCATCCCTTGTTCCCCCATTCATCTGAAAAAAATTCCTATTTCTTGTTTATCTAGGTTCTATTTTGCTATCTATCACTTATGTGTTTTGAGCTTCTCATGAAAGAGAAACCATGCAACACTTCAGCTCACGTTTCTGACTTATCTCACTTAATATTCTGGTCTCAGATTGCATCCATTTACCTACAAATGCCTGCAATTAATCTTTCTTTACAGCAAAGGGGTCCTCCGCTGTGTATAAATGCCATGTCGGTGTGGGACAAGGAGAGCAAATTGTCCCCCTAAGTCATGACTACCTGTTGGGAAAGTTGAAGTATTTGGGTCAATGAGGGCAAAAACCTCTTTGGTGCAGTGAGGAGGCAACAAATTTAAAGATGTTTATAATGAATGAAACCCCTGGAAGTTTTGGAACAAGCTGTACAACAGGGTGCAAGTCCAGATATTTTTTCCCATCACAAGCTTTGAAAGCTATCTGCCTTAGCCAGCCATCTGCCTTTTCTTACTGATGATGCTTTTGATTTTTTTCTTTTAAATTTAACACACACTCACACATGTATTCTTCTTGCCTTCCCAACTGCTGGATTACAGGTGTGTGCATATTTAAGTACTTAAATATTAACTTTAAATGCTATATTTAAATATTTGAATTTAATAATAATTGTTAAATATTAAATATTGTTACCAGTTAAACTTTTACAGAGTTGATGAAATTGAAAATACATACTAATTTTGCAAATGTTTGTTAATCGTGATTTGAGACAGCTCCTATATCGCTGACAGTGAGAGGCATCACAGTGTCTGTGTTGTCACTGCTGCCCTGGAGGAACATAACATTTTGGAGAGGAGAATGAACAAACAGTCTTCTGGTTGCCACAGTGTGGAGATGTGTTAATTATCTATTCCTGTGTGACAAATCACCCCCAAATTTAATGACATAACATAACACGGCTTCTGTAAGTTAGCGATGTGACCGTGGCCTCCCTGGATCCTCTGTTTTACGGTTTTTTTTTTTTTTTTTTTATGAGACTGAGGTTGAGGTGTTGGCCTGAGGTCCATGGTGCCATCTAAAGCCTCCACTGAGGGAAGACTCACTTCTCACCCCATGCACGTGGCCGCTGGCAGCATTCAGCTCCCTGGTGGCTGTTGATTTGTGTCTCCATCCTTTCCCAGGTGTTGGCTGCAGGTTCTCTCCTCTGCAGCTTGCTCCAGCCATGCATGTGGAGAGGGCAGTTTATTACTACCCACATCATGAAGGCTCATTTTAGGAAGAACAGCCCGTCAGTTATCCAGTACACATTCAAGAAGATTGCGTCATTCTAAGGCTTGGACATCAGGAGAGCGCATCACTAGGTACTTGACCAGAAGCCGCCTACCACATATAGATTAGAATCCTTGTGGGGACTTGGAGAAACTGTCACTCTTGGTTGGTAAAGAAATCTCACCTTTAGAAAGAAGTAATTTTTAACTATCTGAGGCTGCAGTACGGCAGAAGATTTGGGTACCTACCCAGTGATTTGTAGAATATCCCCATTGCTACTGACTTTAAAGTAAATTTTTGGTAAATCACTTTGGGCATATGCCACTGATCATGATGTAAAATGGAATTCTTGCAGTGTGCCAAAGTCACATCACCGATGCTTCTGTTCTATCTCTGTCTCAAGAACAATTTTTTTTTGTCTCAAGACACTTTTGAAGTCAAGAGATCATTTAATTGTTCAGACATTCACTCATTTTATTTATCCTTTAATGTTTGATAGTGAGACGTAAGAGGTACTTACTTTTTAGGAATTAGATCATGAAATTTAGAAATAAATGAGGCTGACCTTTGAATATCTCTCCTCTGTCCAGATCACCAGCGGGCTATGTGACCTGTTGAATGGGTTGCAGTTGTCAAATCTGCTCCCACCAGTTCATTTCTGTACAACTTGAGAGGTGAGAAGCTCTTTGCATTTTTAAATGTTTGGCAAATAAACGAGAGTCATCTTTTGTGGCACATAAAAGTACAAAATTCAAATTGCAGCTCTTACAAAGTGTTGCTGGAGCTAGGCGGCACCCGTTTGCTTACATATGGTCTGCTGTAGGCTGAATGCTTGCATTATTCTAGAATTTGGTGACTGAAATCTAATCTCCAATGAGATGGTGTTTGGAGATGGGGCTTTTGAGAGGTGATTAGGTCATGTGACTGGAGCCTTCATGAATGGGATTCATGCTCCTGGAAAAGAGGCCTTTAGAGCTCTCTTTCCTTCTGCCATGTGAGGTCACTGAGAGAGAAAAGCTGCCACCTCTGAAACAGAAAGTGGGCCATCCCAGCAGTGGAATCCGCCTCTTTCTGGATTTCCTAGCTACCTGAACGGTGAACAATCAATTTCTCTTTTTCTTAAGCCACTCAGTCCATGGCATTCTCTTTCAGCAGCCCACAAGGGCTATGACATGTCTGTGGCTGCTTTTGTTAAAATAGCAGAGTGGAGTAATTGCTACAGAGACTCTACAGCTCACAAAGCTTGAAATACGTATGGTCTGGCCTTTTAGAGAAAGTGTGCCCATGTTTAGTTTGGAGAATTATGGGCATGCTAAAGAATGTTACTGACCTGTGGTGAGTCATGTTCTAGACCCACAGACAAGAGGAATCAGGGGCTGAGAGCAGGAGTTTGCAAGCTTTGTGGACTTCTGGGGATAAAGTAGGCTTCTCAGAATGGGATAAAGAGAGAAAGGAGAGTACGTTTCAGTGGCCTTCAAACTGATGATTCAGACTCCTTAGAGGGTGAGGTACTCCCTGACACTGTTGCAAGAATTGCATTTAGGTACACATTTGTTTTCTCCATAGAGAGAGTTCATTGCTTTCAACAGCTTCTTAACAGTTTAAGAACTGCCAGTGTGAGTTGGCATGGTGGCTTACAGGAAGCCACAAAGGTGTGATAGAGAATAACACATTTTTAGGGGTCAATGTTGACAATAGTGAGGTCAGAAAACAGGGTTGTATATGGGGCATAGAGAGATAAGAGGCTAAGCCAGTGCTCTTGACCACTGGAGGAACAGCCCAGAACCTGAATAAAGCAGAGGTCTGCTGTATCTCAGTACAGAGTAAAGGACTAACCAGAACAACGATATTGAATAAAATCTAGTTCAAAAGTTCCGATTTTTGCTTTGCAGTTGTTATTCCATCAGAAGCAGTTCATGGAAGGCAGAAATTCAACAAGCTCACAGAGGGTTGTTTGTAGCTCATTGTATTAAAGTTAGAATAACTGACCAGATTAGTTTATCAACCTTTGATCAAAACCACATCCTTCTCCTTTCTCCAAACCAAAATAACCTTGGCTAAATTTGCCTTTGGCCCCATGGAGTCTCCTCAAGCAGTGAGAGGCCAGCGCAATAAACAGCTCCATCTCCACGAGCTGAAATCTTCATAGTGGATCACAGCGTGGGCACACAGAGCAAAAGAGAACTTCCTGCTTCCTGGAAGCGGAAGGAAGGTCACCTTGGGCTGGGATGATGAGGCCTGGACTGGAGGTGTGTGGGGAGGTAATGATTTTCACCAGATTCTTTTTTGTATTTTATTTAGATTAAGTCTCGCGCAGCAGGGTGATTTCTTAATTAGAGCTGCCCAGCCAGGCAGACCTCCAGCTCAGACCCTGGACTGCCTTCTAAAGTTTCATGAGGGACCTTGTCTTGCCTTATTTCCTGAGTTCTAATATTTGAATAGTATGCAGTGGATTTCAATGGGAGGAAAAGACCTGTAATTTAATCATCGTTATTAGATTTTGCCTGTGGATGGGGAAAGGAAGAAGAAGGAGGTGGAAAGTCCTCTCTTTGTTAATTTCAGGGATTTTTTTTCTTTCTTCCAGTGGTCAAAGAAGGAGAATCAATGGGCTTTTACTCAGCTGTTTTTTTTTTTTTTTAAACAAAGACAGTAAATCAGAAGCCCTAAAGAGAATTATGTTCATGGCAAGACTTTCTGAGATCTGGTAAACCATTCATATAAACAAATTATGCAGTTCCTTCTTCAGTTGACCTGGATCCTGAGCATGGGATGACCCTACAGCTTTTTGTTCTCTCCATCACTACAGAAGCTTCAGACTGCGTTCTGTAAGACCTTACGACATGGAGGAAAGTTGAAGACAGAAATGGTCCATATATGTTTTCAAGCTGGGTCATATTGGCACCATTTTGGCTACTCTCTAGGGAAGGAGAGCCAACATAAAGGAAGAAAAAGGATCAGAAATTGGTGTGTTGTCCATGAGAAGAAGAAAGAGTGATTTGTCCTTCATCCTGTCTGATGAAGATGTGTCTTTGTTGGAATGGACAAACAGAAGCAAATGGCTAAAGAGGTAGAAGGAGACAGCCATATGTGTTTCCACAGGAAGAAATACACCTCGTGGAAGCTTTCAGGAAAAAAGACATGATGCAAGAAATATGATGCATCAAAAAGAAAAGAAAGAATTGTGTATATTCTTCTTCTGCAAAATGCAAACACACACACACACATACACACACACACACACACTCACGCACACACCACAGCCCACCCATAATCCTTTTTTAGCCCCTCTATCCTGTTGATCTTTCTTCTCTTAAAAATTATCAGCAAAGAAGTAATTCCTTTGGGAGGATTCCAGGCACTGCATTTGTCCGTGTGAAACGGGACCCAGATTTTTCAAAGCATGTTTCACAGATAAAACGGAAGGCGGAGCTGCATTACCTAGACATCACCCCTTTTGCCCCTCTGGCCACCTTTGTTTCTAAGCAACTGAAAGAGTGCTGGGCACACTGCAGAAGTTCCCCCTGGTAGTGACTGAAGGATGATTTTAGCTAAAAAGGACAATTTCATCACTAACGAGACGGAGGAGTTCCACTGGAAAAGAGTTTTACTGGTGCATTCTACTAAACGATCTAAGTCCCTTCATTGTTACAAATGGGTAATCAAAGAGAATCTTGTTTTGTGCCAAATATCTCCATTAAATTGTATTAGCATAGCAAATTCTTATTATGATGGGTTTCTCTGTGTAATCAGAAGTTGTCCGTAGTCCTGTTGATTAGTACACTTACTCCAAAAATTTTAAAGCACTAAATTTCAGAGAAAGTCAATATTTGGCCAAGTTTTAGGAAGTTCATTACACCTCATTTAGAAGGGATACTATGTTCTACTCAAAAAAGGCCTAATTCTCTCAAGGCAGTTGTTCCCAGACTAACAAACAAACAAATGAAGCCCTGCAAATAGGTCCCCTCTGCAGCCATCAAAAATCACTCCTGGAAGTGCTACAGTAGGGCTTTACCTGCAGAAACCCAGGGGTCTGTGATGGCCTCTCCGATTTGAAAAACTCAATGGGCACATGCAAAGGTAAATTGCACCAGTAACTCCAGGACTATCTGCTGTGAAAAGAATAAAAATGTTTAAGAAGCCAAGTTTGGAGTGCTTGAATTTTGGATTTTGAAACTGCAGTGTGCGTACACACACATACACACACTCACGTGCATGCACAGTTTTGAATGCAAAATGAATTCACATTTGAAAAAAACTTTCCACTCATAACACCATCACTGAAAAAGCACATTTATTTTATCTCCAGTTTGATTTGTCTTCTCATGGAATTAAACTTCAAAAATTGAGTCAGGGCAGAGATAACATAGATGCCTAGGAAAAAATGAATCCTGGCAAATCTCAGAGAATCAAAGATCTGGGGCTGCTAGGGGCAAGGTGGACTCAGCAAGCACAATCACTGAGGGGTCGGGCGTATCATCAGACACAGGCCCCTGCACAAACCAGATCTTAGGCAGCAGCAATGTGCCATGTTTTGGCATAGGTGGATGCATGCAGCTTATATCAGGAAGGGAAAATGGAGCATGCATGGGCTCAGCCTTGTGGATATGCGGAAACTCTTTCAGCTTCTCATCTAAGATTGCTAAGTACCTGACATGTTAAAGATAAATTTTCGGGAATCTAGGGTGATGCTTATCCTTTCTTTTGAATTGCAATTGTCTGTATTCATGGCCTCACCCTGTGTGAAGTCTGATTTGGACTAGCCCTACCTGAGCGATCCAGCTAATTTCATAACTACAATTGTGCCTGCCTCTGAGCAGCGTCTTCTCTTCTCAGGACCTGCCCGTCAGGTTGTTTTGACCCTACAGAAGCCAAGTTGTGCAAAGCCATCTCTATTTGTGCACCCCAGGCATCTTATGACCCACTGGGTGATTTAACTGTCCAGGATTAGGAGTATAATCTGTCACCCTGAAAGAGAATGAAATTAGCTGGCAGCAGTTGGGTTGACCCCCTGAAAATCATAAGCATGGTAACTCTTCCCCTATATGATCCCAAGTGCCACAGCATCCACCGGTTGCCTGGCCACAAAAAGTCTTCTGATGATTGAATTGAAAAGGAAAACTAACAAATACTGTCTCAGTACCAATGCTATTGGGTGGGGTCCCATTGAACCCAGGCTCCAAAGCAGGGCTGTGAACTTGTTCGAGAGAGGATCAGCAGTGTGTGTGAACTCTGGGTTTCGGTCTACAGAGACTGGTGAAGGAGAAACCAGCTCATAAGTTAGTGCTGGTGAAGTAAACTGCCGTGTTCTCGTAAGAGGTCTGATATATAAAACCACTTAGTTGTAAATAAGAGAGGGGATGTGTAGTTGGAGCAGTACATTTCCCTCTCCACTGTGATAAAGCAGCAAAATTTCCAGGTTTGGGGTTTTCATTGCAGTTGGATCCCAGAGGAAGACGTGAGAGACAGTCCATCAACATAAATCAATGCTAATCGAGTTTCAAAATATACATTAAAAAGTACTTCCACTGTGGCACACCTGAATATTATTAGCTGAGAGAAGATGCAACATCTTTGAAAACATCGCAGGATACCAGGCCAAGGAAGAAGGTGCTTGCATCTGTGCATTTGGGGCAAGGCATTCGCAGTGGAAAGGCTGTCGTCTGCTCACCGTTAACAAGCTCCAGGTTGTGCTTGCTGAGCCGTGCAGCCAGCCACAGGAGGCTGCTGGGTTAGAGGCTGAGGGCCGGAAGGGAGTAAGTGAGCACAGCACTGATGCCCAGGAGGGTGCTGGGACAGTAACCAATCCCTGCACCGGAGCAGGTGGAAGCCTGCAGGGTCATTCTGGGGCAACCTGTGAAGGGAAGCGGGGAAGGAGATATTCGGAAGTCTGCCACTCTGCCTCCTGCCTGCTTCCCAACTTCCCCTAGTGGTTGATGGCAAGGGGCAGAGAAAGGAAGGATGTATCAAACAGAGAGAAGAAAGAACCCCTGCCAGTCATCCCCATGAGCCCAGACTCTGAAGTGGGGTGCACTGCAGATTTACAGCAGCCAGGGCAGGAGGAAGTGGGATTCTGCAAGGGCGGGCTGTTTCTGTTCACAGGGGAGCTGGCTGAAGGCACAGGTTTTATATCAAAGGACCTGGGAATCAAATCTGTGACAGTACTACATCAGGTCAAGGAGTGATGGAGAAGGAGGAGGGGTCCAAGTCCTGAAAGATGCCAGTCAATTCCAGATGGATTTCTGTGTTTCTCTGGCCCCTCAGAGAAAGCAGACAAATACAAATATAGTTAGACTTCATGTCCTAAAATTAGTACGTCAGAAGCCGAGTAACTGGGAGGTACTCACTCTCCGGTTATCTTGTGGGCCTCGAATTATGACTTCTGTTTTGCTTGCCTTTCCTCTATGATAGGATCAGCCCTATGAAAGGGGTGACTTTTTGCTAGCATGGAAATGTGATGTGCGAAAGCAGCTGAAAAAATTACCTGAGAAAGCATTAAAATAATTGGGAGATAAAGAAGGAATCTCCAAATTTGCACAAAATCAAGGAGCAACTCACGATTCCAGTGGTTGCTTGCTTTTTGCATCTTCTTTCACCTGCCTAAGCAAACTTGAAGGAAAGAGAAGCATCCTTATCCTGCATTTCTAGCAAGGGAAGCCCAGCTGACAAAAATGGTTTGCTCTTAACTACTGAAGAGGAAAAGGAATCTGTGATGGCAATACCTATCTATTTCTGCATTTTCATGAGGTGTGCCTTGAAAGGTCTGAGGAAATGGGTCAAAGTTGTTCATTTTCAACTCTGGTGTCCGTCTCATCCCCCGCATTGATCTGAAACATTTTCTCCAGTCTCCAGAACTCACTGATAGGACACAGACTTGCTATCACACATCATGGACCTTGCAGGATTTTTCCAAGTCACTCTATCCACTAATTCTCACAAAGCTATTACTGTGGTAGAGTTCTCTCTTCCTTATATTTTCTAAGAGAACACTTAGGGGATTTGAAGAGCTGGTAGCCACCAAAACTCAAGCAAAGAAATTTTTGGTTCACTCTTTTGGGGTATTTTATTGCAGCATAACTTCTCTTTTTTCCTACAAGGTGCTAATAGTGTAGAGAAAGGGTTTGGAAATGGAGATTGGCTATTTGAGGTGGAGAGAATTTGCATCATGCCTGCCTCTGTCAGCCTTTAATTTTTCATTCATCTATGCTACTTTCTTGTACAATAATTAGCATATACTCACTAATTTACTCACTCATTCAGCAAATGTATATCTAACACATGCTCCAAGTTCAAAACACTTACTAAGTACATTTCTCTAAAGATTGTCTCCCTTCTCTCATAGCTCTCCTCTAAAGCCCTGGGAGCTGCAGTCTCCCAAAGGGAATCAAGGCCATGGATTTTAAAAATAGTAATAAAAGCAGCTCATGTGCAAACAACTCATTACCTTTCTCTGAGCATCTTTCCATGTTTGGTACAATGAGTGCTGGCTTTAAGATTAGCAGATTAGGAGCACGATGTTGCTTTTGAAACCCTAAAGAGTTGGTATATTTCACCAAAATATCCCACATTGTTTAGTGACATGTGTCCCAAATCAGCCCAGGTTCTAATATGATGAAGGAAGGCAGCATTGAAATTGTGTTCCCTTGCCCCAGTCTTTCCCTCTTGTTGGTGCTCAAGCTTAGATCTGGTACGTTCTCCCGAGGCCTGTGTATTAAAGGCTAGGTCACTACCTATGGTCCGCTTTGGGAATGATGGAACTTTTATGGGTTTAGTGGGTGGCAGGAGGAAGTTAAGTCATTGTAGGAAGGACTTCGAAAAGGACATTGAGATACCAGCCTCTATTTCTGTCTCTGTCTCTCTCTATCTCTCTCAGTCTCTGTCTCCTTGGCTACCATAAAGTAGACGACTTTGCTCCAAAACATGTCACCATGCCGCCTGCTGTGGTTTTCTGCCTCACCACAGGGCCAAGAACAATGGATTCAACTGAACGTGGTTTGAAATGCCAAATGAAAATAAACCCTTCCTCCTTAAATTGGTTTAATTCAGTTTTTTTCATAGCAACTAAAAGCTGACTCCTCTAATTGCTCATGCTCACCTGGTATAATTCTATTCCCAAAACAGAACAGAGAAAAAATATTAACTTAAAAAAATCACGACAATGATTTTAGAGATCAAATCTGGTGTCAGGATTTTCAGTTACCTCTGTATTTATAGGTGCTTTCTTGGGCCTATTATTAGGACTCAAAACAAAATAAGAACACTGTACTGGGGGCCAAATCTTGAACTTTGTGTAATTTATTATCAGAAGTCACAGGACGCATGTAACATAACTGAGTTACTCTTTGAGGAACAAATAATTGTGGCATATTCTGCTCTTGGTGGCAATTTCAAGCCTGAATATCTTTGTCAGTGATTGATGATCTTTGGTTTATTTAGTTTTCTATATCTTCAAGGCAAAAAAGACAGTGCTTACGGCTAATCTTCGGTTAACAGCAGCAAGGTACCTCTACAGCACAGACTGGTCACCAGTTTTGCTGAGACCCAAGCATAATGTCTGGGGATACAGCGCATCCCCAGGCAGCAGTCTGTAAATACTATGCTTTCATGAAGTTTGGCATTCTGGGGTAGAGAAAAGGGGCGTTTGCAAACTAGGTTGATCCGATGCATTCCTCCAATGCATTCAAGTATTTTGAATTTGAAAAAGCCTCATAAACTTTGAGTCCCAAGCACTTTATTCATTAATTTTTAAAAACTGAAGTGCATATCAAGGGAAATTCAATATGTAGGTTCCTCATGAGTTTAGACTTAACTCATCAGTTTAATGTTCTGCAAGAGGTAATTGGTATCCAAGAAATCTTCAGAGTATTTTAAACTTTTAAATGCCTTTGACGTTTCAAGATGGAGAAGTTGCAATCTCCCCAATATAAATGGGTGAATTGCTGAGGGGCTGGGCGTAGGGAGACACGATGCTATAGTGGGTAGAAAGCGGGGTGCCAGGAGCGTTGAGCTGGGTCCCTAGGGAGGGGGACACAGAGCCCAATACTTCATGGGCCCCATCTTGCAATCAATGTCTCACACTCAGGGCAGCCGGTGGTTGGACTTTTTGATTCTGAAGGCAAAGGTAAGCTTTCTCAGGAGATTGCTG